AAATCAAATTGCGTAAGTACGCTTACAAAGGAAATCACATTGACTCTCAAAAACATCAGAAATTAGAGGACCAAAAAATTTTAACACCTCAATTAAGGTTTAAGAAATGTATTACTGGTCTGGATCAAGCTATTGAAAATGAACGTGAAGGGTTTTAGGGGTCGGACATGCCAGTCTCCAAAAATTACGTACCACCTTAATTAAGTTAGTTGTTTATCTTACATTGAATATAATTAAAACTCACCAAAGAACTGTAGTCCTTCTTTGTTAGATTTCTGTTTAAAATTCACTTGTTCCAGCAGCACGATTTCTGAAACATATGTTTTAGCACGTGTTTCAGTCCTCATGCTAAAATTACAAGAAGCTAAGCGTATTTCTTATGGTTTACGCAATGTAGCACTGTAATTCAAAGAGTTTATCCTTCAGAATACAAAGAGGTAACTATTACTCAGTTAAATGTGCTTCCATATGGTTAACTTCCATGACAAATCCATAGCCTCTACAGATTGTACTGACATATTGAGGCATGTCGAATAGTCGTTATATTACTTGTCACTGTCCGCTACTGTATGATCCATCGAGAAGTGAAGGATGCGACACGTTGGAACCTGATAATATGTAGGAGTTGATGATACTGACCAAAGGTGGTTATAGGTAGAGACACACGTGATACTTATCAACCAATTACACTTTAAATTAAATTGACTCGCCACTGATATAGCGGTCGGTACTTATGTGATAGCAGATAACCATATGTTTATTTCACATCATATAACCATTGAATAGAAATTATTTAAAGTAGCAACAAAAGTTATGTTTCAAAAGCATGCCAGTGTTCCCTAAACTTTAAATTGAAACGATGTAGGTCATTGAAGGTTTGAGTCTCAATCAACATTAAAGTTGAAAGTAACCTTTTAGAGTCACTGCCAAATAACGAGCTTCATAATCAAGTAAGAGTTATAGTAGCATCGTAACAGTCTCATCTCATCTTTGCGATCCCTTTAATTGTAATTCTAATAAGGATTGTTATCTCATATACAGGGTACAAAGACATAGTTTCTAATGCTATAAGTACGATGGCTGAAATAGCAACTTCGCTGTAGCGAGTTAGTGTGTAGTATTCTTTCGATGGTTTTTAGCTTCAGTCATTTCGCTGTAGCGAGTTAGTGTATAGCATTTAACAGATCCCGGGAATACGATGGCCGAAATAGGAATTTCGCTGTAGCGAGTTATTGTATAGCATTTAACAGACCCCGGGAATACGATGGCCGAAATAGCAATTTCGCTGTAGCGAGTTAGTGTGTAGTATTCTTTCGATGGTTTTTAGCTTCAGTCATTTCGCTGTAGCGAGTAAGTGAATAGCATTAAACAGACCCGGGAATACGATGGATGAAATAGCGGATCTATGTTGAAAATAAACAAACCCAAAGTTTAAGCTCTACAGTGCTACATACAAACCCTCGAGACTGTTCAGATTCGAGCTTGTTTATAAGGTTGCTCAGTAACAAGGTTGACAAGATCTTTCCCGGCTTGCATTAGGGACTGTATATAAGTTTAACATGTATATGTATATGCTCATTATACGAGATGGAGAAAAGCATAGAGGACAGACTGACTTCCTCAAATTTACATTTATGGCCACCGGGTCCAAACATGCCATGTTCTGCCATGTTGCCAAGTGGTAAATCTACAAGATGCAGTCACTTGGCATATACTTGTTAGTAACATGGCAATATTTTAGCAAGTACCTTTCTGACAACATGCTACTAGTCTAGCATGTGAAAGACAGAGCAACTGGCTCAACATGGCATGTTGAATGTGCAAGTGATTATTCAAGATTTATTCTATATTAGAACATGTACTATTTTGGTTGGACATGGCATCTTGTTTTAGCATGTGTACAGATCAGAATGCGAGTACTGCCATGTTCGCATGTTGGATGTGCATGTTGATTTGTACATGTTGCATTGGCATACTTGCCATCTTATATTTGCATGTGTGCCAAGTACCTTGATTCAAGTGATCCCAAGTTCACAACTTACCAAGTACAGCATGTTGTCATGTGATAAATATGGCTACTGGCTGTAGCATGGCATGTTGGATGTCCATGTTATAATAATGTCTATTAATGCTCAACATGGTTCTACTTGCCATCTTGTATTAGCATCTGTACCATGTACCAGAAATGTTGGTGGTGCCATGTGTGCATGTTGCCAAGTTCAACAGACATAGTCATTTATTGATCCTGGCAATGATCTTTAATTCATACATTGTATATGTGTTGGATGAACATTGTGTCATTTTTAATGATACATCACACTGATATTTTACATTTCTTATGCTGTATTTAAAACTTGACTTATAACTTATATTTTTGCATTTGTCATGTTGTTTACATTTTGTATTTTGTAGTTAGTTTAGTCTAAGTTATTTTTGTATATTGTACATTGTACTGACTAATATGTCATTGTGATGACATCTGAGTCAATAAAAGATGTACGTGAACGCTGCTCCTGCCAAGTGGACACTTTATCATTAGGGTCTGGTATGTGATCACCGCTCCTGCCAAGTTGACCCTGTATCATTAGGGTCTGGTATGTGATCACCGCTCCTGCCAAGTTGACCCTGTATCATTAGGGTCTGGTACGCAATCACCGCTCCTGCCAAGTTGACCCCGTATCATTAGGGTCTGGTACACGAATGCCGCTCCTGCCAAGTGGACCCTCTATCATTAGGGTCTGGGACACGATCACCGCTCCTGCCAAGTGGACCCTGTATCATTAGGGTCTGGTACGCGTCCTGTGTCCTCAGTGGGTAGGTCAGGGTTAGGTAATCATTTAAAACCCCATCTGGTTTAATAGGGTTGGTTAGGGTGGGTTGAGGTTACGGTTTAAACTCATTTCACTTTTTGTGCCAGACCCTACTGATAGCGATCGCTGCTCCTGCCAAGTAGATCCTGTATCATTAGGGTCTGGTATGCAAACGCCGCTCCTGTCAAGTGAACCTTGTATCATTAGGGTCTGGTACACGAATGCCGCTCCTGCCAAGTGGACCCTCTATCATTAGGGTCTGGGACACGATCGCCGCTCCTGCCAAGTGGACCCTGTATCATTAGGGTCTGGTACGCGTCCTGTGTCCTCAGTGGGTAGGTCAGGGTTAGGTAATCATTTAAAACCCCATCTGGTTTAATAGGGTTGGGGTTGGTTAGGGTTAGGGTTAAGGTTAGAATTAAATTCTTTTTTTTTATATTTTGACATAGAAAAATTTATTCATTTATGGAATTCATTTTTTAATTTATTTTACATTTTTGACACACATATTCATGGTCTTAGGGTTACAGTTAAGGTTAGGGTTAAATTCATTTTTTGGGGTAAGGGTTAAATTCATTTTTTGAATTTTTTCATTTCTCATTATCAAATTTCCCGCCATTTTTCAAATAAAAGTTGAACTTTTTAATGATGCGCCACTTCAATGGTTTAGCATATCAAAAATATTTTGCAACTAACGTCAGACCTGCCAACCTGAAATTGGTTTTGAACGAGGTCATGGTAAATAAAAGTTAAATGAAAGTTCATTTAGTTAAATGAAATGGGAAAACAAAAGAATATGACAAAAATTAATGAGTAATCAGTCTGATTATTAAAAGCCCATGATGTAAGTTGGCCCTAACAAGTATTATGAGGGTTCCTTTGCTCGCCCAGTTTTAACAGAAAAAATACATTTCCTTGCTGTAAAACTGAAAGTAAAAGAAAGAAGTCCAATAATCAAGGTTACTGACTGTAGATTTAGCTCAAACACGGTAGATTAAGGGAGATTTCAGTCAAAAATACGGGAGGTTTTTACGGCCATTTTCACAGTAAAATGGAATTAAAAAAATTATGGTAGATTTTAGTAGAAGTACGGTACAGGAGATAACAGTAGTTTTACGGGTTTAAACGGTATGGGAGTTTTGTTGCATTTACGGAAAAACAAAATATTTTACGGGAGATTTACATAAAAACGTATGGTCGGCAGTGACATCATTTTTTCCAATGTCAATCTTTTCTAAATATGCAAAACTTCAAATATAAACCAATGTTGATTGTCTAACCTGAGATTAAAGGAAGTATATATGTTTGAAATATTATGTACCATTGGTTTCTATGAGAACTAAGAAATTTTGAAATGCATTTTTCTCTGAACCATTTTAAAGCATTGATGAGTTCATTTCTTGCCTATTTTTGAACCAATTTTCTTAATTTTTCACCAAAATCATGTGAGGATGAATGCTATACATTGGTTTGAATTATCGCTTATTAGAATATATATGTGATCTCTAAAAGTTAGTTATAAAAGTTAGTTTTATATAAATTCATAATTAGCAATTAAAAAAAAGTTTCACATTCTTCCATATAACACTGAGTAAGACTACAGTATAAGCCAAAGTGATTTAGACCTTATATGGGGACTTAAAGTGTTATTGATTATAAATATAAATTCATAAAGATGTGCATTTATGGTCTTTCTACAGAGCAGAAAACTCATGGGCAGTGGTAAATGTTCTGTATTTGCAAATTGCTAACTGTAATATTTGAATATACAGATTTTCAATTCTACATAAATACAGTTATATTCTTATTTAAAGATGTTATTTCAAGATGTTTCTGACCAGGGAGCCTACTTAGTGAACTAGCTAATTGACACTCAGATTGGAACATTAGTACAAGGATACTATAATGTTCACATGTGTTTAGAATTGTGTTAGAATTGTATCAGTGATATGCTGTTCATAGCTTTGTATCATTAACAAGTTTATTACTTACACTTATTCCATAATAAAATCATCTCTACATAATAAATTATTCTCTGCAATCTATTTTTGTTTTATGAGAACATAAAGTTAGTAATCTATTATTATCATATCGAAACATTTTACATGTTTTAAGTCGCAGTGAATTCTAAGATATAATGCAAAGGAAAAGTCAAATCCCTCATGGAATTCTTTAAAAACAGCCCTCCCCCTGCTTCCCTCCCTGGCAAAAGCTGACTACTGGCCTAATAGTGGCAGAATACTAATGTAGTCAGTGTAGTAAGTGGTCAGCTAACCTAGAATATTGTAGAGGATGATTTCTTCATATACTTACTACAAAGCTCAAACTTATATACCAATTTACCATTTTTTCAAATTACATTTTCCAAATTTGTGTTCATTTCATTAGTTTTACCGTTCATTAAACAAGCTTTTTAGTTTAAAAATATATTTTATCATTTAATTTCCCATTCCAAATAAACAAACGTGTCATTTTGGAACTTGATCCACATGCTGCACATGCGAGATGTATAGTTGAAACTTGGCAAGATGCTATTCAAACATGCAACATGGCAGCATGTCACTTGCTAACTTGGTCCACATGCTGCACATGCGAGTCGTATGGTTTAAACGTGGCAAGATGCTATCTGTACATGCAACATGGTACCATGTCACTTGGCAACTTGGTCCACATGCTGCACATGCGAGCTGTATAGTTTACTTGGCAAGATGCTATTTCAACATGCAACATGGTAGCATGTCACTTGCTAACTTGGTCCACATGCTGCACATGCGAGATGTATAGTTTAAACTTGGCAAGATGCTATCTGTACATGCAACATGGTACCATGTCACTTGGCAACTTGGTCCACATGCTGCACATGCGAGTTGTATAGTTTAAACTTGGCAAGATGCTATTTCAACATGCAACATGGTAGCATGTCACTTGCTAACTTGGTCCACATGCTGCACATGCGAGCTGTATAGTTTAAACTTGGCAAGATGCTATTTGAATATGCAACATGGTAGCATGTCACTTGCTAACTTTGTCCACATGCTGCACATGCGAGATGTATAGTTTAAACTTGGCAAGATGCTATTTGAACATGCAACATGGCAGCATGTCACTTGCTAACTTGGTCCACATGCAGCACATGCGAGATGTATAGTTTAAACTTGGCAAGATGCTATTTCAACATGCAACATGGTACCATGTCACTTGCTAACTTGGTCCACATGCTGCACATGCGAGATGTATAGTTTAAACTTGGCAAGATGCTATCTGTACATGCAACATGGTACCATGTCACTTGGCAACTTGGTCCACATGCTGCACATGCGAGTTGTATAGTTTAAACTTGGCAAGATGCTATTTCAACATGCAACATGGTAGCATGTCACTTGCTAACTTGGTCCACATGCTGCACATGCGAGCTGTATAGTTTAAACTTGGCAAGATGCTATTTGAATATGCAACATGGTAGCATGTCACTTGCTAACTTGGTCCACATGCTGCACATGCGAGATGTATAGTTTAAATTTGGCAAGATGCTATTTGAACATGCAACATGGCAGCATGTCACTTGCTAACTTGGTCCACATGCAGCACATGCGAGATGTATAGTTTAAACTTGGCAAGATGCTATTTGAACATGCAACATGGCAGCATGTCACTTGCTAACTTGGTCCACATGCTGCACATGCGAGATGTATAGTTTAAACTTGGCAAGATGCTATTTGAACATGCAACATGGCAGCATGTCACTTGCTAACTTGGTCCACATGCTGCACATGCGAGATGTATAGTTTAAACTTGGCAAGATGCTATTTCAACATGCAACATGGTACCATGTCACTTGCTAACTTGGTCCACATGCTGGGCAACGTGTATACTTCGTACTTGGCAAGATGCTAATTGTACTTGGTGCACATGGCATGTAGTACCCCGGTGGCCTTAGCTGCAAATTTATGCATAGCTGATGACATAAAGTCTTTTAAGAATATCATAGAGCAAATGTTTGCTGATAATATCATCAATCCAGGTCGTCTAGTGACATTGAAAGTATATAAGGGATTAGTGCTTAAAAGACAACCACATTTAAGTGAGCAGGTGACTGAAGCCTATGATCGTCTGCTGATTGAGCTCCGTAGGAGAAAATATGACGGATCTATACCTATATTTAGACAGTAAAGATTCTCAAAAATATTTTCCTCAGAATACCAGTGAAGATTTCACAGTAAAATTACCGAGTTATCAAATCCTGCATGGACATAACTGGAAATTAGGCCTAGTAGAAATTGCTATTCCACCACTATCTAACCAATCCGGTTTAGTCTATTTGGATGTGTTCTGCGACCTAATTAACGAACACATAGTCAGCACTGTAAAGCGACCAATTCTCCGAAGGATCAATGCTGCAGACAGATGGATACACTTCAATCCAGTGCTTTATACATCTTTAAGTAGTAATCAGTTCGATCGCGTGCGAGTATATATAAGAGGACAGGATAACACATCTGTGTCATTTAACAATCAGCGGATCACCTGCACACTACATCTCAAGACTTCCAACACAAACTAGCATGCCAAAACTGGTGCCGTATATAGATAACACAGAGAAGTGGGGTAAGCTAATCAGAGCAAGCCGACTGGGTAAAGTTATCACGCAAACGGGACACGGGAGGAACAGGACAAAGTGGATAGCTATCGACGCTATAAAAGAACCAATAACTGTCACCTCCCCTACGCTGGCAGCAGTGGAACGCGCTGAGTCTCAACTGAACAGGGAAAAAGAGGCGAACAAAGGATCAAAGAGAAAGTTGGAAGAAACAGTCTCAACTATTGCACACAGTAGTAAAACTACTCAGAAGAGGAAGAAAAACAATAATACACCTTCAAAGAAAAAAGCTAAAACGCAAAACAAGTCATCCGAATATCAATTATGGCGTTCAAAATAGATCAGATGAGTAAAGATGTTTTGAATTCAGAACTAAACTTATTCGAGATACCGAATACTCAAACCAGCGTGACATCCGTCAACTATGTCGAAATTAGACCAGTGAATCCAATCTCGCATGGAACACCAGTGGAATTTGTGATTCCGAATAACTCTTCACAGTTCATAAACCTGAAAGGAACCAAACTTTTCTTGAAGCTTAAAGTAACCAAAGGCGATGGAAGTGATTTAGACTTCGGGACTTCAACATCTAACGTAGCTCCAGTAACCGGACTGCTACACGCCATGTGGTCGCAGGTGGAGCTACAGTTAAACCAGCAAATTGTCAGCACTCATAGCTTATACTATCCATACAAGGCGCACTTGAAACGGTTGTTGAAGCAATCGCCAGATGCCCATAACTCGAGATTGCAGAATGAATTTTTCTACAAAGATAAAGCAACCATACAGAATTCTACATTTATGGATGACAGCAATGCGATTTCTGGGAACAACGCTGGGTTAAAGACGAGAGCTACACTCACGATGGCATCCAGAGAGATAGAGCTTCAAGGAAACATTTTGCAGGATCTCTTTGAAATGGATCGCTACATCTTGAATGGGATACAAATCAATGTGAAGTTGATTCCTGGAAGAGATGCATTTTACCTCATGTCGAATGCACTGGATGCAGACTTTCGAATTGAACTACTCGAAACCCATTTGTTAGTACCCATGGTGTCGGTATCCCCTGGTATCCTGACCTCCTATGAAGCAGAACTGAAAGAACGCAATGTAGTGTATCCATATGAACAGAACCAGATACGCGTTTGGACGATTCCGCAAGGATTGAACAGTTACAACATACACGACGCGTTTCAAGGTAGCGTTCCTTCTAGACTCCTGATAGTTTTCGTTAAATCAAACGCTACCAGTGGAGCTTACAACCTGAATCCATTCAACTATCACCACTTCAAAGTAAACTTTTTAGAAGTTGCCGTGGATGGAACCAGCGTTCCCGGAAGAGCTCTGAGACCAGTTTTTGGAGATGTCGCCTTCAAAAGTCAATACGCCAACGAATATGATCGTTTATTCTCAGACCTCGATGAGAGCGAGGGATTAATAATTGATAAGGCATCGTTCGCCTTCGGCTACGCCATCTTTAAGTGGGATATCCAGGCTCAAGACAGAACCAGCAAGACGTTTTCTTTTCCTCTTATAAAGAGAGGGCAAGTTCGTGTGAATGCTCAGTTTGCCGAACCTTTGGAGGAGTCAGTGAATTTGATGCTATTTGCGACATTTCCTCAAAAATTTGAAGTGGATTCATCGAGAAACATCATCATTGAATGAATGCGGCACAGATAAGATGCATACTCAGCAACCATCCTGATACTAAACACTCATTCAAGGGAGTCTATGCGAAGGATGAGATGCTGAATCATTTAAAGGAGGGAGATTGTTACATCCTCAACACCAAAGAGAGTTGGCATCCTGGAGAACATTGGACCTGTTATTATGCTGGACATAACCGATTGGAGTTTTTCGACCCACTAGGTAAAGCATCAGATGTCTACGGATTCGCAGAGTATACTAACAACCAGCAGTATAATAACATACGTGTGCAAAATCTGAACAGTTCCAGTTGTGGACACTATTGCACTTTGTTTTTGTTGTTGAGATGTGGAGGTTACTCCATGGACTATATTGTTAATAATGAACTGTACAGGAATGAGAAAGGAGTCATTGAGACTGTTCAATATCTATTATCATTATATGAAATAAAATAAATAGTAGACATGCTGTTTTGTTCATTCACTAACATGACGTTGAGCAAGCTACAGTCTAAGCTGCTCAAAAACACATACTTCAACCCCAGCAGACCGGGAGCTTTCAGCGGATTCAGACAACTGTGGCGAGAGGTTAAGGGGAAGGGCATTAAGCAGGCTGATGTCAGGGACTGGTTGAGTCAACAAGAAGCCTATAGTCTATACAGGGGAGTGAAGACTAGATTCAAACGCAGAAAATTAGTAGTTAGACACATGCTAGAACAAGCGGATACAGATTTAGCCATGATGGATAAATATGCAGAGGACAATGATGGTTTCAAATATCTACTCATCATGATCGACAGTCTCAGTAGATACCTTTGGATACAGCCCATCAAAAGCAAGAGTAGTATAGATATGGTGAAAGCATTCCAGAGGATATTTGCAACTGATAAGCCCACTAGGTTGCGATCGGACAAAGGTCCCGAATATACTTCGAAGAAAGTACAGGCCTACTTCAAGTCTGTTGGGGTGTGGCACTTCGTTACGCAAGGGGACGTAAAAGCTCATCTCGCAGAACGAGTTATTCGTACGGTGAAAAATAAAATTCACCGATACATGTACGCTAATGCCACGTATCGTTATATAGATGAACTCCAAGCTATAGTGGACAGCTACAACCACTCGTTCCATAGAACCATCAAAATGGTCCCTGCAGATGTAGACGACAATAATGAATTGCAGGTTTTCGAGACACTCTTTATGAGGAAGCCTAAAAAAGATAAACCTATCACTTATCGCTTCGGCATTGGTGATTTGGTGAGGTTGGCTTTTACAAAGGGAATTTTTGATCGTGGCTATCAGCAGAAATGGTCCACAGAGTACTTCAGAGTTCGAGCTAGAAATGCTACCGTTCCTCCTACGTATCAGCTGGAAGATCTGCAAGGGGAAACAATCAAGGGACTTTTCTATGCTGACGAAATGCAGAAAATTTCGGAGGAGCCAGCCGAGCATAGAATTGAAGCGGTGTTAAAGTATAGAAAGAGAGGAAAGCGAAGGGAAGCCTTGGTCCACTGGCAAGGTTGGCCCTCCAAGTTTGACACTTGGATTCCAGCGAAGGATGTGAGAGATATATAAATACAGGAGCAGTTTCATTTTCTAAACATTACCAAGTATGGACTGGTGGCAGACAGAGAGTCTCATTAAACTCCGAAATGGTACGAGCTGCTCGATCATTGGTAGTAGCAATTGCGGCAAGACTCATTTCGTTTATAAACTGTTGAAAAACCTATCTGGTATGTACGAACCTCCAAAGCCAAAAGCTGTTCTGTATTGCTACGGCATTCATCAACCACTTTACGATCAGATGGAAATGGAGTTGGAGAATTTTCAGTTGCATCAGGGTTTACCTAGTCGAGAAATGATAGATGAGCTTACTAAAGATAGGAGAAGTTCCGTGATAGTTCTGGATGACCTACTTCATCAGGTGGCTAACAATAAAGAAATGGAACTCATGTTTACTCAAGGCTGTCACCATAGATGCTTGAATGTGCTGTTTATTAGTCAACAGGCGTTTTATAAGGGAACGAGAACCATAGCTCTCAATACGCAGTATTTAGTGTTGTTCAAAGCTTTGAGGGATAAGACTCAGATAATGACCTTAGCCAGACAGCTAAGTCCTACAAAGTGGAGGCAGTTAATGGAGTCATACCTGGATGCCACCTCTGCTCCATACGGCTACCTATTTTTGGACCTCTTTCCTCATAGTGATGATGTCACCAGAGTCAGAACTTGCATATTCCCCAATGAGGACACAATCATATACCCGCAGCTATAAATACAGAGTGAGTTCACGACATGATTCAGTTGAACATGAGTGGGAGAAGTGTACTGATTGCTTATGAACGATATCAACGTTTACTGGATCAGACATCCAAGCAAGAAAAACCACACATCACTGACAAGCAGAGTGGAGCTGGGAATATTTACTCAAATTCTCCAGTCAACATACCAGCTGGTGCAAACATATCTGACAGCAATCAGGAGAGAAAAATTCAGACTGTTGAAAAGGGAGCTAGAAAGATCAACCTCGCTCCTCCCGGTATTCCAGCTCATGAAACACGCAAGAGAGCAGCTGACAAATTGATAGACAAACCACGAGCAAAGAAAAATATCGAAACTGTGTGGGTCTCTCTGTGACATGAATGCGAAGATAAGGAAGCAGGTTCCATTTTTGACATACCTCACCAATGCTACTAGAAATCAGAGACGTGTACTAGTGAAAGCTCTAACATTGGCTCAAGTCAAAGTCATCTCCGAAGTGGTACTCAACATCCTACTTCAAAATGTGACTCTGTCCCAGGAGCAACGAAGTAAGCTTCTCCCTTATAGAGAAACTTTAGAATTCATGGCTAACAGAGGTGTCAGCTTGAAAGATAAAAGAAGGAGACTGAAGAGAAGAATGAAAGCTATATTGACTGTACTTAGAATGTTTCTGGATAAAATAGAGGCATAAGTGATCTAGGTTCAATCCCGATCTACCTTTTAATTTCATCTTAGACTATTAAAACTGATGTAACCTGTATTATGTTAATGGAAATAAAGTGAACATAAAACCAGCCTGCATAAAACAATTGTTTGCTGCAATGTAGTTTATTATTTACTCACTGGAGTTAGAGTTATATCTAGAGGTGCTGTGGAGACACCATCAGCTAAAACTTTACGTTTACAGTAAAAATAAGAGAATCCCACGCGATCTTGGGTGTAGGTGAACATTGTGTTGTCCTTGGCTCTAAAACCTGTGATGTTACCCTGTTCTGGATTCCCACTTTTCAACACTCTTTTGTACATATCCATGGGATTTTCAAAGTTATGTTTGTTTACTCCTTTACAGCTGATTTTTGACTGTGTCGTTTTGGCGTCATAAACGCAGTAAGTCTTGGAACATAAAGCAGCTATCTGTGTGCCCTGAAAGTAACGATGTTGTTAATTTTGATAAATTGATAGAATCGCCTCAAATTTTGACAAATTTTAACTAAATCAACAGGGTGACCTTTACCTGAAACTCAAGTTTGTCAGTGTCAGCTGCTTATCTGTAGGAGGCTACGCATTATCTTATCTTATCTTTACTGAATCCACCTTCTTATCTCGAGGAGGCTACAGCTTATGAGATAGTATGTGACATTGGGTGGATCCTAGGCACTGTTATCATTATCTTATCACGATCTATCCCAATCCTGAGGTTGTTATCTTATCGATCTCCCGATCTCCCATGTTATCTTATCTTGTTATCTTATCTTATCCATGTTATCTTATCTTGTTATCTTATCTTATCAATCTACCGATCTACCGATCTACCAAGGATGCTCGACAACGGATAATACTACTCCATTTTCTACAATCCCATATAGAAATATAACCAATTATGTGACATGGGGGTCAAAAAACACCTTCTCAATTTTCATCGATTTTGCGAACAATAACCTATTTCTACCAAATTTTACTGTTCAGTTAAAAATTGCAACATTGTCATGAGACTTTCATAATTGGATATTATGTATTGTTTTCATTCAGTTTTGAACCACGCATGCTCAATAAACATGTGTATGCTTATTAAACAAATTAATTTCTTCTTCTGTCTATCCAAATATGGCTCAATAGACCCACCCCCGGACTCACCTCCTGATCCGATTATTCGCTAAAGACGCGAAAGCCATTGGTATAATTGATGGATCTATGTGGAAGTACCATCAATTATTCATTCTTTCAGTGTGTCTACATCCCTGATAGGCTAGTGATCTTCATAGACCAACTGTTCTAAATGTCCCAAGTACTATACAGGGTGTCCCGAAAGTATGCCCCCCCCCCCTAGGCAGACATATACCAGTGTCTTCATAGTACGTGTCATATATCATTTTAAAGCTTATCCAAAGTTACATTGATTCACCAAGTATCATGGTTCAACTCTCAAATGTGAAAAAATTGCAGGCATTTCAAAATTTAGTGTTTGGTCAAAATTAAATTCAATTTTACACCAAATCACTAGTCAATGTGTCCTTCCGGGCAGAAATTCTTTTCGGGTCGGATGGATATTGAGTTGGAAAAAGAGAACGCTAAGGGTAGACACTCTAAGGAAACTCTTTTAAAGTGCCTAAACAGGTTTTAAGAGGGTTATAAAATTCCACACCCCTATTTGAAGGGTCATATCTGAAAATAATTGATGCTGTTAACATGGCCAAGGGGGACTCATTGACTAGTAATGTGGTGTACAATGGAACTTTATTTTGACAAAACACTAACTTTTAAAATGACCGTAACTTTTTCCAATTTGGGAGTTAAACCATGATACTTGGCAAATCAATGTAACTTTTGATAAGCTTTAAAATGATATATGACACATACTATGAGGACACTGGAATATGTCTGCCTAGGGGGGGGCATACTTTCGGGACACCCTGTACATGTAATCAACAGGATAGACTCTATATATCAGTAAACAAGAATAGGGACATTTGCGATCTGAAATGTAGGTGGTGTCCACTCGGTGTTTCCCAAAAAGGAAAGACCGTACAGGGCCTGTATTTGTTGAACCAGGAGCAAAAATATACTCTGAAAGTTGATGACATGAGATGTTAAAAAAGGACTCCTCAAGGATATAAAAAACATGTGAAAGAAATTTCATTTTCTGATAGGAAAGTGCTTCATTACACAGGTCCCATGCTACCCTGGAGTTTTTGGAGATTCGAAATATCACCATCTCTAGCCCAGACAAATCATTGGCTGCAGTCCAGATGCCAATAATGTTGATTACCATACCTTGGGGCATCTAGAACAGTTGGTATTTAAAGATACCCAGCCTATCAGGGATAAAGAGGAACCAAAAGAAAGAATAACTATAGCAGTTGAATGGTACTTTCGCATACATCCATCAATTATGCCATCAACCAATGGCTTCCGCGTCTTAAGCGAATAATCCGATCAGAGGATGGGTCCGGGGGTGGGTCTTTTGAGCCATATTTGGACAGACTGAAGAAGAAATTAATTTTTTTATAAGCATACACATGTTTAATGAGGATGCATGGTTCAAAAACTGAATGAAAACAATATATAATATCCAATCATGTAAGACTCATGACAATGTTGCAATTTTTAACTGAACAGTAAAATTTGGTAGAAATAGGCTATTGTTCGCAAAATCGATGAAAATTGAAAAGGTGTTTTTTTACCCCCATGTCACATAATTGGTTATATTTCTATATAGGGTTGTTGAAAATGGTGCTATTATATATCATTTTGTTGCAAATTAAATTATCTTTAAAATAGTATATCATTGTTGGTGTACATGTTAAAAATAAATATTTATCAGGAATAATGTTTTTTGGCCCACCCTGTATATGGCGAACTGAATTGAACACATGTTTCTCTTAAACCAGTCATCAACAGATTCTGAAAATTTTACATACCGTCAATTTAGTGATCATCTTTTGAATGGTAACAATTTAATTTGAAAAATATGCAAATACTTTTCTCTTTATTCATATTGTTTGAGAAAACACATCAGACACTTCTTTTCTTCTTGGTATCATATGTTTGGAATGAAATGGAACATCTATCCGAACCTCATTGGAACAAAATGACATATGCACAACGAACAAAAAACATTTATTACAATAGAAAACAAAAGATGTTCACAAAAATAATAAAATGAAATGAAGTAGTAAGTAGCAGTAAATGAAGATTATGAAGTAATGGTTAAAAACTTTAGAAGGTTTGAAATAGGCAACTTCGGTTATGTACGATCGGTTTTAGATACAGAGTCTATCCAAAAAGAAATATGTTTATCCTATGACAAGTGAGGTTTCAGGTACATAACAGCGGGATAGAAAATCGATATCTTAGAGGAGCAGGACATATATACACTCCCCTCCATAAGTTTGGCAACCTTTTTTCCCCCATTGAACTACGTGTTAAAGCCTCTTTACCTTTGAATTTTTATTTACTTAACCTGCGATGAAAATACTTATACTATTGATGGAAACGTAATTTGACTTTAATTCCAATACCTCCAAATTTTCTCAATTTTTTTCTTCAATTGCAATAGGTCGAAAATTGATGATAAATTTGATGAATTTTTGAAAATCGACATTCCCATGTTAACCAATGAGAAATGGTAGGTTTGCCGCAAGTCATATGACAGAATATCCATCCATCCGAGTCCTTGCAAAAAATACGAGTTAGGCAGGCAATTGAATTTGTTAACTTTATTTAACAAAAAATTGATATGTTTCTTCAGGTTCAACAAAGTTATAGGGCTTTAAAGTCAAAATTGTTTTTCAAAAAACCTCTCCCATTGAAATATCACAGGAGGCGAAAAATTATTTTCAAAAATGACTTTGAAGCGCTGTAACTTTAATATTCGTCAAATAAACTAAACACTTAGTGTTCAAAAAAGTTAGACAATTCAATTTTCTATATAAAAATATTTTTTGCTGAATCTTTTACTGAAAAGATATCCTGATTTCTGATTTGCCCCGAACCCTCCATTTCCCATTGGATTACATGGGAATGACGATTTTCAAAAATTCATCAAATTTATCATCAATGTTCGACCTATTGTAATTGAGGAAAAAAATTGAGAAAATTTGTATGTATTGGAAATAAAGTCAAGTTACGTTTCCATCAATATCATAAGTTATTTAATCGCCGGTTAAGTAAATAAAAATTCAAACGTGAAGAGGCTTTAACACGTAGTTCAATGGGGGAAAAAGGTTGCCAAACTTATGGAGGGGAGTGTATATCTCCCGCTGTATATCTCCCGCTGTATATCTCCCGCACCAATATTCCCGGGAAAACGCTTTCGCTCGGTGTAGAAACAGTCAAAATTTGTTAGAATATCTCTCTATAGCGAAACTACCAAAATGGAGGCAGACGGCGGTAGATTTTTTCTTGACCAAAACGTCGAAGAATTTCTTGAAATTGAGCCAGAAGCACTAAATGATAAATAATCAATGTCTCATAGATAAAAGTCACTTGTCATAGGATAAATTAGTTATGTGATGCTCGGTTTTGGATATGGGGTATATCCCGAGGGAAATATTGATATCTTACCGAGGGCCCAGAGGAACCTCCCACAACATAACCCTCATGTATCCCTCTGTGTCTGTCGAATGAGGGATACAAATGCATATATCTTGATGGATAAACACATCGAAAACCGAAAACCTAGAAAATAAAACGTGAGAAATATTCTAGTCACTATTCTCAATTCTCTGTCCGTCATTGTTTCTTTTCTTGTTTAATTCATTTTGTTCATCACTTGTAATTTTAATTAAAATCCACACCATCTAGGTCTTGCTCCACTCCTACGCGAGGATGCGCACTGACATTGCCATGCATGAGTAGTTAAGCGGCACTTTGAGGGAACTCTTACGCATCTACCAGATGTGTAGCCCTTGCAAATGCATCTGAAATCACACATTTTGAGGTTTTTCATTCACCGAGTATTTCGTCTTCTATAAAACCTACCTACAACAGGTAGAATGGCGAAATATTGACATTAAAAGTGCCGATGATATTATGTTCCTTGGCAAGACTCCTTAATGATTAGAGCAGATGCAAACTAAAATGAAAAATAGTTGTACAAAGAAGATGTTGATAATTACAAAACTAGAGTGCTGATAGTTAATGTATCTAAGCAATCTGGGTAATTTACTAAGCGGCCATTTTGAATTTTAAGAAAGATATTTATCACTTAGGGTGTAAAAATATTTTTTAAAAGGTTGCGCCAACGATTGTGAGTTCAATGCAAGTATATAAAACTAACATCCTTGAGCACGTGAGCATATCATGTGGAAAAACTCGAAACTTTATATAAGGTACATGTCAGTAAAGATTCAAAAGTGTTGCGACTCAAGTTTTTTACTTGATAGATTTGACCTATAAGAGTTTACCACTGAAATATTGGGAAAGTAATAAAATCGCTGTTACATGCGACCTGCACCTGCGACATACAGGGTAACCAAAAAGAAGACCCGCAGGTCATAGGGATTTTACTAAAAATATGACTTACGAGGGGTGATCAATAAGTAATGGACGCTTTTTTACACAGATACTTTTTATAGACTAATCCCTTTGATTTTCCTACCAGTGATACATCATTCAATTATCTATCATTTCTGAGGATTTGAAGACAAAATATTAAATACATGTTGATATATCTTTATTTCCGTGAAGGAGGTACAGGTAACCCGGGACCGACATTTACGTCACATATTCAGTTTTCAGCCAGTTTGGCAAATTTCAGTTAGATTTAAACTTTTCATATGCCACATGTGTTGTGTTGTTTGAAATACTTTGCTGACTGGTCAACACATAAACAGAAAGTATTATGATGTCAGAGTGTTGTATGGAAGGGGTTTGCAGGTCAATTTGAGTAAGCATTGTGGAAGAAAGGGGTGGTGAGAGAAGGGAACACCCTACTCCATATGGACAATGCACCTGCCCACAGATCTCAAAATGTTCAGAAAACAATATCCATGGACCTCAAAATTGAGCCCTTGGCCAATGCACCATATTGTCCAGATCTGCTCACATGTGACTTATTTATTTCTATACTACTTATTTCTATAGAGAAAGGATGCATGTTTATTGATATTGATGAAATAAAACAACCCATGCAACTGCATCTTGCTACCATGTCAGAGAATGGATTCAACCTTGTCTCACAATCTTGAATTAAGAAGATGAGGAATTGTGTACATGTAGCACTTGATGGAACCTATGTAGAGGGCCCTGTGGAATGAATGTGGCATGAATACCACATAGTGATGATAAAATATTCAAAATCAACTATGGCATAACAAAATGGGGTAATTCATGACCATAATGGTTTGTTTTGTTCAGCCTGCATTCTTGCTGCATTGCATGTTAAACAAGTTAAAATAGCTTCAGAATGTTTGACGTAAATGTCGGTCCCGGGGTACCTATACATCCTTCACGGAAATAAAGATATATCAAAAGAAATTACATGTTTTGTTTTCAAATCTTCAGAGTTGATAAATAATTGAATGATGTATCACTGGTAAGAAAATCGAAGGGATTGGTCTATAAAAAGCATCTGTGTAAAAAAGCGTCCATTACTTATTGATCACCCCTCGTATATGACTTTTCTAGACTTACAGATGATCAATAAAGAAATTGGAATGTGTCTTTAATCCTAACACCCCTCCAATTCCTCTCGAGCAGGGACAATCTGCGCTCGGGAAATGAGAAATGGAATAAAGTCGACACTCAGAAGAAGTGAGTAATCTCCCACAATTATTTGCCATTAAATGCCTCTCATTAAAGATGAGCACTTCAGGTCGCAGGTGCAGGGCACAGGTAACAAGGATTCTACTACCTCCCGAAATATTGTTTTTTGGTTAAATCCGAATATTTTGAGTATGCCCATGGCCTTAGCAAAACCGCATGCATGCAAAGTCCATGCAAAGTCCATGCGATCTTTCCATGCAATACCCATGCAAAACACATGCAGCAGAATTTTAACTCATTTAAAAAAACCATGCAACATCCATTCAAATCCATGCAAAGTCCATGCGACATCCATTCAAATCCATGCAAAGCACGCTAATCCACATGCAAAGTCCATGCAGGCTGCGAGAAATATTGTTAATAAGTTCCATGCAATGTCCATGCAAAATTGCATGCATCTGCATGGATTTATATGAAAACCATGCAATCCACATGCAATATTGCATGGACTCGCATGATCCATGCAACATCCATTCAAATCCATGCAAAGTCCATGCAAAATCCATTCAAATCCATGCAAAGTCCATGCGGCATCCATTCAAATCCATGCAAAGCACGTTAATCCACATGCAAAATTGAATGCATCTGCATGGGTTTTAACGAAAACCATGCAATCCACATGCAATTTTGCATGGACTTGTATGGTTCATGCTACATCCATGCATCTGCTGTTCTGCCAAGTTGACAGCCCTGCTGGTCAGTGGTCACCTGCTTTTTTACACAAACCCATTTTGGTGTGCATGTGTAGCCAACGAGAACCTGCATGTTACTGGCGGATCAAGAATCTAACAATGGGACCCACCATTCTGATACTCAGACCATCTCTGCCTTGCAAAAATGTATCTAGAATGAATTGTTTGGAGGATGTGATTATCAAAAAAATAAAAATCAAATGAATTGAAATTTAAATTAATGGAAAATCTTTCAAAATGTTTGCATTGACTCGTTTTTCTATCCCATATCAAAATTTACAAAGGCTTCACACCTACAATTTACACTCAGTTTATACTTACTTTACACCCAGTAAATAGGTGACCAATTTCATATGCAAATGAGCTAATTTACACTCAGTTTACACCTTAGTATACACCCACTTTACACTTAAGTTTACATCTACTTTACATCCAGTTCGCACTTAGTTTTCACTTAAGTTTACACTCAGTTTACACTTACTTTACACCCAGTAAATAGGTGACCAATTTCACATGCAAATGAGCTAATTTACACCTAAGTTTACACTCAGTTTACACTTTAGTATACATCCAATTTACATCAAGAGCACATTCTGATTGGTCAGATTTTAAACTTAATTTACAGTTAGTTCACATAGTTCACCTAATCCTTAATTGGCGAAATGCTAACTGCTTATCGCAGGGGGAGAGAATGCAAAGATATTCTGAATTTTGAAGCACTGTGATCAGAGAATAATATTAATGAAGATACAGGGGGTCCAAAGCATAACAAATTGCAAAAAATTACAAAAACAAAAATCCCATGTTAAATCGCCATGGGGATTTTCCTGGAATTTTCTGTCTAAGCGCTTTAAAAAGTATTTGTAGGAGTTATGCTATAGTACAAATATCACAGAATGATCAGCATTAAAGATCTATACAAGTAGTTCTGCTCAGATTTTTAAATTGAAGTTTTAAACAAAAAATGCTTAAATAATTCTGTCTTGTAAAAAGTTCAAATCCGCCATCTTGAATTATGATGTCACAATGACACTCTTTTGCATATTCAATGTTTTCAAGAAAAAAACACATAAAATATGGGTCTATATAATTTATTGGGCCTTGATTCCTTCTCTTGCTTCTAGATTCTTTTACAAATAACTTTTTTATTTTCTTCATTTTTCCAAAAAGTTTCCAGTCTCCAAGGAGTTAATGAATGTCCTATGTAAAACCTATACAAATAAACTGACCCATATTGAATTACAGCCCAGGATATAATGCCATCATGATTCAGATTAGAATGAATTCTAGGTGAAAAGATCAAAACAAACAGGCAAAGCACAAAAGGTAAGAAAGAATGGATATATTGAAAAGAAATTTGAAGCTTAAGAAAATGGATAACTAAATGAACAATGATGATGAAACTGGAACAAATGCAC